ACTGCCCGCCTCAAATAAGACCACTTTGCGGGAAGCAAACGTAGGGAAAATTAAACAGCACTATGAGCCGATTCATATCATTTTGGGTAAATTAATCAGCTTCATAACTGGAATTCTTATTCGATTATTGTAGTCTCAACACTTCCCATGTATTCATCGTTTATTTCAACAAAAAATCAAATAAATTTACGCTCATTAGTTCATGAGGCTGGTATCGAGTGAGGCCAATTTAGGCCACAAATAAAAAATAACACTCGTTCAGCGAAAATATTTTCAAGTCGCGACCAAATTTAACATACTAAATTCATGACTAAGTTGGCTTTTGAGACTAACAGTAAATCACATATGAGTTGTATTCAACCTATTTCGTTTAAAGTGATGTCGGACTGGTAGTTGAATTTGTCCACAATCATATGAGTAGGGCTGACGTTTCCATTGAATTTCACATAACCTTGCTTTCCAAAAAGGCGTTCTTATCCACGATGGACTACATTTTCGACCTCGACATTTAAATTCCCATCTGCTCTGTGACCCAAGAGCACTCGAGACAATGTGGCGTAGTGGTTAAAGTGTAGAGATTGCACACTGCATTTCCAAGGTTCAAGGGGGTGTTGATAAGAGCTAGGCGAGGTCGAAACTACAGTTCAACCTGGATAAGAATACCTTTTGAGAAAGCAAGGACATTTTAAATTCAATGGAAATGTCAGCTCTACTCATATCATTATGGGAAAATTCAACTATTAGTCCTTCACCACCTAAAACGAATTAAGGTGAACACTACTTAACATACTAAAGTCTTCTAAAACTGCACAAGATATAATGAATTGTAGGTTAGATGTCTCAGTGACACATTTTATGCTGATTTACAGGGGTTGAAAGTATTTTTTAACAGGGTGCTATCCTGGAATATTTATTCCTAAACGCACGAGAATGTAAAATAGGGCATGCAGTACTGACTTTCAATATAAGCTTTGCTTAGAAAGTTATGCTATGGGTTATAAAGCTATGGATATACTAGTATAACTACACAATACTTATCAGTGTAACGGATGTCTTGAGACGCAATCTAAGCCCTTCACCTTAATCCTAATAGAAAACGTGAGGCTAAATGATAGTTGTCATCTTGTTTTAAAAGCAAGGACTGTAAATTAAAGTTAGTAATTATCTCCTTTAGGGGAAAAATAATGCAAAAATTGTAGACGATTTATCTAAACTCAAAAAGTAAATTATATCGGGATACTATTATATCATGTTTCATTACTTTTACCTAAAGAACGAGTATAGTGTGACCTTACAAATTGTTGAGCTTACTTCCATTTCGAGTGAAAGTGTTGGGTGAAGAGATTCGAAGGTCGGTTCTACCAGAAGACGAAGGTGGATATCTCTTAACAAGCTGTCGATTGGTTTTACTGGAAGATTCATGCTGACGCTGTTTCCGAGGCAATCGCCTTCGATTCCGGTAAAACGGTGCTAAGCTTTCGTCCGTTATATGACGGATATCATCAAAACGAGGTAATATCGTCACAACAAAATTCAAGTTAACGATTCAAGAAAACTCGTCGTCATATGACGGACGAAAGCCTAGCACGTGTTCACCGGAATCGAAGGAGATTGCCTCGGAAACAGCGTCTTCCAGTAAAACCAATCGACAGCTGGTCAAGAGGAATCCGCCGTCGTCTTCTGGTGGAACCTACCTTCGAATCTCTTCACCCAACACTTTCACTCGAAATGGAAATAGGCTCAAAAATTATGAAACAAGAGATTCCTCGAAACCCAACTTTTCTTCGCATATACAACCTTACAAATACTAAACGTGAACATATCTTTAGTTAATCTGATCTCAGATTTGCGCCCAATTCAGACATTTCAACTACTCAGGTGACGGAATATATCACAAAGAGCTATGCACAATTTTGGTAACGTGTATAGACTGCACGCTGCACTTTTAGGGTTCGACTCCCGCTGGGTGTGTTGATGAGGCCTAGGCGAGATCGAAGCTGCAGTCCACCCAGGATAAGAACAACTTTTGGGAAAGCAAGGCTGTAAAATTCAATGGAAGCGTCAGGTCAAAGTGGGAAAATTCAATACCATTCCTTCATCACCTTTAACGAAATAGAGAGCATATATCTCATATGCAATATAACAATTTCTTTGTTTTAAGAGTCCAATCTAAATTTAAAAATTATACCTGAAGAAGTGATCTACATCAGAAAACAATACTTAAATACCTGAAAATAAATTATAGTAGTCAATGTACGAAACTACTAGTATAAGACGGGATGGTAACTCTAATAATTTTACTTAATTTACCACTCTTGCCAATCTAGAGCATTTTAGAAAAAAAATACAGAACAAACAAAATTTACTTACGGAAACTTTTCGAATATTCGAAGGCGCATAGGCAACTTTTGCTGAGTTTCGGCGCTGATTTCCTTTAATTTTAGCTAAAAAATTTTCAAGCAATTAAAAGCACATGTAAAGATATAAATATGATTCTGGTAATATAAGCATGCAAGGGTATACCAGGCCAGAAAAAGACAAAATATAAAGGTTTTAGATTATATCTAATGGCACAATTGCATAAGCCTCTTATATCTCTCCCACACCATCTTGCAAGAATGGAGTGAAAACGACAGTTTCCATAAATCCAGTAACACACACGAGTTAATGGCAGACACTATGCTCACATGGCTGGGAAAGCAATGCTTTCGCTTTCGAATACTCAGGTCTACAATTTGCGTATACCTGCGTTAGTGGTAGCATTTTGGAAGAAATTTCGTCATGAAAAGTATTTATAGAAGAAGTACTTATATCTGTCTTTGATGAAATGAGTTGTCAGATCTATATATAGGACAGTGGAATGCCTCGAGAAAAGTGGTGCATATTTGGCAGCAGAGGCCAGAGTTGAGAGAGCCTGCTTGAGAATTGGTGAGTTGCCGATGGATAATTAGATAAAGTGAAAATAAAATAACCGAAAAACGATTCAATGGTCTATATGCTTGAACAAAGCGGCAATAGAATTTGACTCTCATGATAAATGTAGCAAACAAAGACGATTACAAAGAGGCTTAGTGCTCTCACACCTGATTTTAAAAACCCCAAGGCTTTCATAAGCTTTAGACCTAATTGCCTTTTAATTATCAATATGGTGACATCTTTTGTGAAATCGAAATTATTACTTTAAATTGAGTTTGTAGATCAACAAAAAATAGGGCTTTGAGTCGCAAATACTATGAAATAGGTTTGGTTTTATTTTACAGGCCCTTTCAGAAGAGGGGGAAACAGCTAAGGCTAAGACTTGTCATTAAGTCCAAACGCTACTAGGATGCATTTCGACGCATTTATAGTAGAAGTATTAAGTAGTCCCGATTGGGGTCAAGAGAAGAAAATATCCTTGAAACATTTCCATTTCAAGAATCGTCTCACCTGTTTCAATTTTTTTATGTCTTCTTCTAACTCAAGGTTGTCCAATATGACAGCAACAAAGAGGCTAAGCACGATCTGAAACATAACAGTTGGCAAGTTTATCGAGTTTAAATTTTTATTTCAAAGAACCTCGCTGATGACGATTTTAACTGGGCTTACTAGGGTGACAAACAGATGGTAGAGTAGAAAATACACAGCGACCCCGAGGATCACGGATTTGGACTCGACAACGTCCATTGTATCGTGCATGACAGCCACCCATCCCTTCTGTGTCAGAATTTGAAACATAGACATGAAGGCCTGAGCAGCAGAGAGGGAAGGTATTGTCAAAAGGTATAGACTGGTTAGGAAGGGGTTGGTTGCGTAAATGGCCCAAAATAATTTCCCTACTATCCTATTTTTGATATTTTCAGCTGCTACTCCATAGGCCGATTTTTCGAATAATAATAATACGAATTGTCTCAGACTAAAAAAACGTTCAATACAAGACACTCCCAGCATAACTTCTTTCATATGTGGGAAATGTCTTTTGGGCAAACTATGATTAAGCAAAACTTTGAATTCTAAAGTATTAAGACCGTGATTGTGAGGCCTTTTGTATGGTCGCGGTCATCTTTCGTTGTATAGAAGTTGTTTGACCTTGGTTTCGCAACTTGGTGAAATTATCAGGAAGACCTAGAGGGATGCACCTTTTCCGGAGTCCATAGTATGCATGATCGTTTCTAGAGTCGGACCGTGGGCTTGGTACTTTCCCAGACGTTTCTCCGGCATCATCAGTGAGTCTTGCCATTCTCGGCAAACCAAGCTTTGACGAGTTGCAGCTTGGTTTGTCGAGAATGGCAAGACTCACTGATGATGCCGGAGAAACGTCTGGGAAAGTACCAAGCCCACGGTCCGACTCTGTAAATGATCGTGCATTGTATGGACTTATGACTTTAGGTCTTTCTGCTAATATGACCAAGTTGTGAAATCAAGGTCAAACAACTTCTATTAAACTTTAAATTGCCAGATAAAAGAAGAGAGTCCAGCACTAAAATTTCTAATGTATGCAGCCTCATAACAAAGTAGTATGCGCGCCATTTGTCCAAGCAAGCACTTTTAAGGACAAAGGATAAAATTAAACAGAACAAATAAATAGAATGCCGATATATTTAATAGAGAAAGAATCACAGAAGGAATTCTGAGGATAGATGGGATTTTGTGCTTGTCATTAGATTAATATTTATCGGATTATCTCACTTAATCTTGCTCCCCAAAACGTCTCTAACACTAAAGCTTAAATTAGGATTGAACACTTCTAAGGTCTGATAATCTGTTATATTGGCATTTGCATTCGGCATAAAGATATAGTGAAAATAGGACGGAAATATCACACCTATTTTAACTCTGTTGTTAGAAACTTACTTATCTATGTGGCTTATTTATCTTTATTACCAAAAGTTGATATTATAACCTAATCAAAGTATAATGAAGGGTAGTTCGAAAGCAGTGGATTCTCACCATGGGGAAGGTTGAAAAACGATTAAAATCCTTTTCTAGTGCCTGGAAAAAGCAGAACAGCTGCATGCTGACTGTGGAAGTAATCACCAGTAGACACATAGTGAACATAATTAAACTGCCCAGCTTCTTTCCAGGACCAAAGATCTAAAACAAAACAAATTGCTAATCAACATAATAATTATTTTGATCAAAAAGTGAACATGATCCTGATGAATGCCATAATTTATTAGTTTGTTCTATGAATGCACGTCTAACTCACGTATTTGCATTGTTCAATTAGCCCTAGATCGTTCAATTTACACGACTTTAAAATTTGATTGCTGAAGATATATTGCTAACTATTATTGTGATTTAATATATCTTTGCACTCACGCACACACATATACATATAAAAAAATATATATATACTTATATACATATATATAATGGCTACTTCTTTGCAGAAAAACTAAGCAATGCAATTAATTTTCAGAAAGAATTATAAAGGACGATAAGAAAGAATTTCTCTTATAAAGGAGTTACAATAAATATCTAGCCATGGGAACTATAAACTTTACTATCAAGTTTGTAGTTGTCTCCATAGTCCTTGTGTATCCTGTCATTTCTCCCCTATCTATCTGTCAATATAATTGGCAGCATACTATAGTGCTGTTATATTATTCAGGATTCCGTAAGCTTCTTGACAAAATTTCTTGATATATTCTTAGTTCAAAATGTGAGGTAATCAGTTAGCTCCAAAGCACAACTCCGAAAAAGGGCCATTTAAGAAAGCTGCTCGGACTTACATCTCATGGGCCAAAGCCAATTTAATACAGGCATTTGCTGTTTTGGTATAAATTTCACTAGAATGAAGATTGACATAACCGTTCTAAGCTGACTTCAAATATTTCTTATGTATCAAAAAGAGCATTGAATGAAATTGCACTAAATAAAATAAAATAAAAGTATGTTGGTAAAATTTTTTTCAGCTCAGAACCTTTTGTTAACACATTAATTAGTACATTCTGTATCGAATTTCTATATTTGGCTAAATGCATTAATTATTCGCAAATTACCTTGAAGCAAAAATCCTCCAACATTGGGGACGCTTTGATCAGACGCACAATACGTAGTACCTGAAAGAGATAACTTCGCGATTGAAGTAATTCAGGAATTTGAATATAGCAAAACGTAGAAAAATTAATTCAGATTGCGCATACTGGACTGCCGATTCCCAGCTAAACTTGCGAAAAAGCATTTTTAACCCTAATTTAAATCGAGGGCATCTGAGTGAGTCAGTTGCTAAAGCAGATGTGGACATACCTCCGCAATTATGGTCTCAAGCCCTGCAAACTCCAAAACTTCATATGAGGGACTTCCTTCGTGTGAAGAACGCTTTTAAAAGATAATACATAGGCAAAACGCCTTATATGGACACTGACCTTTGCTAGAGTTTGAAAGAGATTATAAAAACAGTAAGTCACTTAATTCTACATGTGAGTTAGGTAAGATTCAGCAGAAATCATAAGGAACCTCTGCATTGAAAGTGGTATTCACTAAAAAAATCGGGATAAAAGATCAAGCACTTGATATAGATCTATCGGTAACGATTTCAGTTTTCATTTGACTCTGCCAAAATGAAGTATCATTAGTAGAGACCTCAAAATTTTATGACCTGTTTAACCTCTCCTTGTTCTTATCACCATGCTGTATGTATACCAAGACGTTAATCTGCCCAGTTAGCACCTACAAGTACGGGAGGAATATCCTTCAAGATTAAGGATATACAGTAAAGGGATATTTCCATCATTCAGACTTTAAAACCTTTAGTAGTTTGAATTGGGGGTCAGTTATAAGATTCATTCTTGATCATACCAAGTTGTTCAAAGAAAGTAAAACGTACCCTACTACCAAAAAATCAAATGTATTCATATTCTTTTATACCCTCTCCCATTTATATTTGAATGATTTCTTATCCAACAGAGACAGTTTACAACAAAGTTATCTTTCTGGCCTATATAAT